GAGGTAACCATCATAAACGTTTTGGCAAACGTCTTTCCAGACACTTCTCCATATACATTTTTCTATACACAGATATGTCCATTTACATACAAGAGCATTCGCAAGGTAATTACAGCTCCCTATCCCTTCTTACGCAGAGCCTGTGGCAGTCTTTGTTCCTTAGCAAAGAAAGTTGATGCTGTTCTAAATGGGAGCAAAAATCTGTTCCCAATGAGGGCTCCCAAATTTAGGCCTTCTTGCTCAAACAAATTTAGATACATAATAGTTCACAGAATCCCACAAAATGCTGCTTTTCTCATAAATGTCTTAGTTATAATCCTCAAATCAGCCCTACAACTTAGGTGTCATTAGCCCCATTCTGCAAACAAAGAAGCCAAGGACTGGCATGAGGTCACCCAGCTAAGAATCATCAAAGACAGGGTGAAGGCCAAAGTCTTTCAGCCTCCAAAGCCCATGCTCTTTCCACCATCCCAGGCTCCGATTTTGTGCCTCCTACTTCCCAACTCATTTGGTGCAATGTGTTGAGCACCCAGGAGAAGACCTTCCACCTTTCATCAGCTTGTGCCTCTGCGGTTTGAACTCCTGGGAGCAGTGGCTGAGGTGCCATCAGGGTTATGGCTGTACGTCCTCTTGAGGAGTAATAAGCAGTTGTAGAGGAAGAAGTAGGAGTAAAATAAAGCAAAGCCAAAGCGTCAGCTTTCCTGTCTTAGTGTCCTCTCATCCCACCATCAACTTGTCAAGCAATGTTTGTTATCTTATGCCTCCCTAAAAATGTAGTCTGGCAAAAAATTTTTTCTTCTAGGTTGCTGTTAGGGGAGAGGATTTGGTGATTTATAGAGGAATAAAGAAATAAGGAAGAAGAAAGGAGAGAAAAAGTGAAGAAAGACAAATCCAAATGATCTTGGAGGCTCACTTGCTCCCATTTGGGAGCTTAGCATGACACTGCTAACAGCTGAGGTGGGACAGGGACTCTTCTAATAAGCTTACTCCCAAGATCAGGAACAGCCACCTAAAACAGCACTGTTACAGGGTCAATACACCAGAGGTTCCCTGTCATCCTATGTAGAAATATGCAGAACTTTACATACAGGGTCCCTCTCCTAGAGGCCTGTCCATGGTGTCTGAAGGCTGGCTATACTCAGCTTAAGCAACAGTCTTTGTGGGATAAGAAAAGCCATTTGGTTGATATCCTTATCAAAAATTTAAATAACTTGAATCTAATCATGTGGAAACATCAGATAAACCTAAATGGAGAAGCATTCTAAAAAAGAACTGACCTTACTCTTCAAGAATATCAATGGCAAGAAAAACTCAGGAACTGTTCCAGACTAAAGGAGACAAAAGTGACAGTTGAAGGCAATGCATGACTAGAAATTTCCTTTTGCTATAAAAAATATTAATGGGGTAATTGATGGAATATGAATAAAATCCATAGATTATTAATAATATTGCATAAATGTTCATTTCCTGGTTTTGATAATTGTAAAGTGATTATATAAGAGAGTGCATTTGTTTGTAGAAATGTGCCCTAAAGTATTTAGGGGAAATGGCATCAATCATGTTATTAATCACTCTCAAATGAGAAAGCTAGAGAAAGATAAACAAATAAAGTAAAATGTTAATATTTTGGAAATCTGCGTAAAAAGGGTTTAGAAATTTTTCATACTATTTTTTCAACTTTTCTGTAAGTCTGAATTTTTGTCAATTTTTTAAAAAAAGTTGAAAAGTGAATAAATAATCTAAGGGATTCTGATCTCAAAATCATTACAATTTAAGTTTTCTATGTTATAAATACTGAGATTCTACAATAGTTATTTTAAGAAGACTAAATCATGAAATAATTCTTGAATACCTTTACTTGCTCCTGATAGAGAGTAAGCCATAAGTTCAAATTTATGTTAACAAGTAAACTTTAATACGTTTTAAAAGATATGAGGCATCAAAATTACTTCTTACCCCTATTCCTCAATCTAGTTCTCCTGAAATGAGAAAGCCCAAACAAAAAGGTTTGGAAAATTAAATATATGTTAAGTATTTAGTTTGCATATTGGCTTAAGATCAATTACATGTACAATTAAGTTGTATTTTTATGTTTGCCTATGTTAAAATGAACTAGGAATTTATCTAAGTAAATGAAGAATACAGTCTAATGATACCTACTTAATAAAAAAATCTCTAAGAAGAGGGACTGTAGTATAATGTAGAAGAAAAAGTATGCCACAGAGAATTAGAAGACATTCTAAATAACTATTAGCTAATTTTATGGTTTTGGACAAGTCATTTTACCTGAAAAGTAAGCACACTGGACAGTTGCAACAGCTCACATTTATTGGGCTCTCCTTATGAGTTAGATACTTTATTTGAATCAAAATAATCTCTAACTTTGCTTTAAGTACCAAAAATTTAATACTTGAAATATAACACTCTCATTTTAAATGATTACAATAATGTATGCTTGTGGCTTATTTTCTTTTACAACAATTATTGGTCATAACTCTGATATATGGATGCTTCTGCTTGCGTAGAAATTCTGCTGTGTGCTCATGAAACGGATAATGAATGGAGGGTACTCACCGCTAACTCTCAGCGTACAGATTCCTGGCCTTTACTCTGAGTGGTCATCCACTGGCTTTGCAAATGCGTATCTTTCTCTTTCCCAAAACCTACCTCAGATAGCCTTCCCAAACTGACTGTACAACCTCCAGCTCAATCCTCCCCTCCTCTGCCCCAGCAGCCACTCTGGAGTCCTGCTCTGCACAGCTGTCTGGTTTCTCTGGGTTACTTTGCTTCAGTGGCTAGGTCCTGAGAGCTTCCTGAGGACAGGTGCCCAGTCTCTGGAGCCCAAGGTGATCTACACACAGTGGATACTTGCTCAGTACAAGAATTGCCCTGGGATGACTAATCTAGGAACGCAAAACAAACCGCTTAACTGAATCAATGCAGAACTTCCTGGAACCGAAGTTAAGCTGAAAAGAATGGCTGTAACCTCACAAGAAGCTCCACCCTTCCTTCTGATCTAAGTGAGAATCTAGGTTGAGGAGGAAAAACCCTGTCTCTTCCCCCTCGTTTCAACCCTACATCCCATCAATTCTGTCGTGTGAACATGAACATAGTGGACATAGCCCTGCCCAGAGCTGGGCCTAGGACCTGCCTGGTCAGTGATCTTGCCCTCCACTTTCTGGTTCCAAGTAGGAGAAAGGGCTTTCCGTTTCCAGTGGCCCTGTAAACATGGTGTGTTATACTGCGGTCTCACTTGCTTTCTCTCATTTCTAGCATGCCTGGATATACAGCACCCTTAGTCTAGAATGTCTCCATAGCAAACCCATACTTCTATGAAAGTGAACCCACCAGTCATCGCCTCTCCAGGGAGTCTTTGCCACACTCCTAACTCCTCCTACAGTTTATGCATGTTCTTCATCTATTATAGAAAAGAGCACATTGTGTTGTGTTTATATATTGCTGTGACTGTCATCCATGACTCTAGAGGAGACTCTACAACTCCTTTCAGATGATAATCATCTCTGTTATCCTGTATCTCCAGCACTATGTGCCACATGCGGCCACGGGATAGCAGTGAGAATGGAGAACCAGAGTCAGGGCCTCTGTTCAGTCAGGGGTCAATCACAGGACATAAGAAACCAAGGACCAACAGACTTTGTCCTTTCAAGTTTGTGTCTCTTGTCAATGAACAAAGGTGAGGTCGCTAAGGTGGTGGTAACCATAGCTGTGAAGGGATGGACTTGGAATCATCCCCCATGAATATAAAGGTACCCAATCCTTTCATTTAAAAGTTAAATGCTCTTAACTGGCCCACACAGGAAACATCACAGGAAATCATGTTTCAGTTCAGTCTTTGCTTCCATTCAACCGCAATTTCAAAATAATACAGATTCTCCTCAAGATTGAAAAGCAAAACTTCTTTGTTTATCTAGCAGCTAGGATTCTGCTCTTTCTCAGCTTTCTTCCAAAGCACACACGTAGTATGATATCTCTTATCTCCTATGGGAGTTCCTTAAGAGTAGGACTCTTTACTAGACAAATATCCTACCTTTTCATCTCCCTCCCCCACAATTCCCATAGCACAGTGCCTGGACTCGGGAGGCACCTAACACTTGATTATTAAGTGAATTTACTAAAAAGACTGGTTTTATTTTTTATAAAAAAATAAAAGGCTCAATAAGCTCTGAGGTGCTTTGGTATCTAGAGCCCTTTGCCCTGTCCCCACCCCTCTTGGAAATCTAGAGCCTCTGACCTGTTCTCAACCCTCATTCTTAGATGGGTGGGGGTAGCCAAAGAGAACTTCCTCCTCTCTGCTCTAATCAAATGAAATTTTCACAGGTTCTTGGAAGAAGAAAGCTCTCATATAGAGTTCCTATGGTGGTCACAGAGAGTCAGGACAAAAGCTTGCCTATCACTTTGCTGAGTCCATGCAACCTCAGTCCTTAGTTACAGCACGTGATTGGAAATTATTGCAGTATCAATGTTTTATACTTGGATTTCATGTTATATTTATCAATGTTCATGTTTTGTACACCAATGATAATTTGGGGAAATGCTGAAGATCACAATGCTCTTCCTGTTTCTTAGAAGCCAACAATCTAAGCGTCCTTTAGAGGTGTCTAGCTTTCACCTTTTAATATACAGTTACTGAGCACATCCTGGTGTGATTTTTAGCCACCTTTCTATTTAATGGCTTTGAAGAATCACAGTGGAAGTCACTAACTTTACTTTTGAAAATTTCTCAAATGAAAAAGAACTGCGTCTCCTACCTGTCTTTTTAGAGACAGCTCTGGCTGTGGGTTCTTTCCTCACTTTAAAATCACAAGACCAATTTTCTAAAGACCAGAGCACATAGGAACTCTCCCCAGTGTCATCTCACATAGAAAGCTCCAAGCATCAGGAATTACTACACAGAGAAATTCAAGTTCTGTAGCAATTAAGGCAGGTGAATACATGGACTCAGAGATTCAGAAACGTGATTAAGTAAAAGTATCGCTTGCCTGATTGCCTTCGGGGATGTTACCAGGATCTTGCCAATCTTTTTACTTTGTGCACTAAATATTTGTGAAAGAGAAGTTGCCGGAGATTGTATGGTTACTAGAGAGGTATATTGGAGACCCCTAAGAAAATGTCCTACCCCACATTAGACAGCAAGCCAGGTTAAAATGTCATCAACCTTACCTTTTCCAGGCACCGTTTCTCAGTCCTTTAGGCAGAATTTGGTGATTATCCTTGAGGTGGCCAAGATAAGGCTGTAACACGGATGTCCGGTACTATTTGTGTAAAAGGAGAAGTGAAGGGTGAAAAAATATGATCGTGCTGTGACAACAGGAAGCCCAGATGAGAAGGAGGAAGTGAGGCTGAGTCCGCCCTCCTTAGCCTCAGAGATTTAGTCCTTTCCCAGTGGCTTTTTAGAAGTTTCTTCTCACAGCCCACCCTAAACTAGTTTCCGCAAAACAAAGGAAAACTTCAAAACCAATTTGGTTCAGGCAAAGATCTGTGAGCACTGATGGGTTATAGGGTAACTTTGGTGATGATTTTTGCTTAGAAAAGGACAGTGCTTCTCAATCTAGGTGGCATCTCAGAATTAACTGTGTATTTGTTCAAGAATAAGCATCCTGGCCCCACCACCAGAGTTTCCCATTCAGGTAGACAGACTGGAGAGGAACAAAAGAACCAATATTTCTAAACATTTTCTAGGACTGAGACTTTGGAATGTCTTTCTGAAGATTCTCTATCCCCTCCTCACTCTTCCTTTGTCTGGCTTCAGCCAGTGTCTAGACTTCAGTTTAATTGGACACCATTTGCAGACTTCTCTGTCTCAAGAGCAAGATCAAGATGATTTTTCTTTTTTTGAGATGGAATATCTCTCTGTCACCCAGGCTGGAGTACAGTGGTGCCATCTCAGCTCACTGCAACCTCCGCCTCCTGGGTTCAAGCAATTCTCTGCCTCAACCTTCTGAGTAGCTGGGATTACAAGCGCCTGCCACCACCCCCAGCTTTTTTTGTATTTTTAGTAGAGACAGAGTTTCACCATCTTGGCTAGGCCGGTCTTGAACTGACCTCGTGATCCACCTGCCTCAGCTTCCCAAAGTGCTGAGATTACAGGCGTGAGCCACTGTGCTCTGAAAAGATGGTTTTAATGTGAGGGTATCGTCAGGGATAGTCCCCAGGAAGGCATAATCCCAGGGGCACTGGTAGAAACGATTTGGTTAGTAGAGGAAACACCACATTTGGAGCCAAAGAGCTGGGTTTCACTTCCAGCTTTATCTCTTTTAGCTGTGAGATCTTGAGCAAATCTCAACCTCTCAGCCTCAGTGTATTAATGGTAACATCTAATAATACTACTACTAGTTACTGTTACATACCCATTTATAGACAAGAAAACGGGGGCTCAAAGAGGTTAGCAAATTTGCCCAAGCTCATACAAATAAGACATGTGAGAGCTAGGATTCAATTTAAGGTCCCAGAGAATGCCATTTGAGAAACACTGTGACCAATATATTTTGAAAAAATGTGTTTCTAGTTTCACTATGCTGCATCACTGGAATTTTCTTAGATTAGGTCAAAGGAGTAGGTGACAACCCAAATGTATCACTAGCTAGCTGTAAAACTTGGAAGCAATCACTGAGCCCAGTGTTTTCACCTTATAAATAAACAGATAGGCCGGGTGTGGTGGCTCACTCCCAGTGCTTTGGGAGGCCGAGGCAGGTGGATCATGAGGTCAGGAGATCATCCTGGCTAACACAGTAATACCTCGACTGTACTAAAAATACAAAAAATTAGCTGGGGGTGGTGGCAGGCACCTGTAATCCCAGTTACATGGGAGGCTGAGGCAGGAGAATCGTTTGAACCCGGGAGGTAGAGGTTACAGTGTGCCAAGATCACACCACTGCACTCCAGCCTGGGAGACAGACAGAGACTCTATCTCAAAAAATAATAAGTAAATCAATAAACAGATAGATGACACTCTTCCCAGTGCTGACTTGGAGGCATGCCTCTGGGAAAGCTAGCTGTTTCCTGCTTCCTTCACCCTGAGACATTCAGATCCAGAGTAGTCTCCAGCCAGGGCTGTCTTGTGGGGGGAACTGAGTTAAATAAAAGATAAAAACGTCTTTGCTACAGAACCTGTCAGTCCTTAATATTCTCTAAGCAGGGAATATAATATACAGTTTTCCCCAAACTTATCTGACCATGGAACAGTGTGTGTGTGTGTGTGTGTGTGTGTGTGTGTGTGTGTGTGTGTGTGTAGTTTCTCTTAGGGAACAATTTTTCAGTGTAACTACACTTTAGGGAATGCTATTAAAAACTCTCCACTCCTCAGCTGGAATCACCAGTGCCCCTCACTCAGGGCTGCTGCCATGCTGACAGGTCCCTGAAGTACTGGGGCTGAGGAGAGGCTTCTGGCTGAACTCATATTTTCCTAGTTATCTCACCCATTCTGATGACTCTAATTACTATCTGTCTGTTCCAAAGATTCACAAGTCTATATGGATGACATGATCTCTCATTTGAGCTCCACACTCTCCCAGGCACCTGAAATCCAATATCCAAATTCAGTTTGATGAACTGGCATCCCCACACCCAAGCCTGCTCCTCTCACCATGTCCACCAGATAGGAAAGGCTTCACTGGCCTTCCAGCCACCCGAGTGAGAAACCAAGTGTCCTCTTAAGCTACTCTCTCTCCCACACCATCACCTATTATCAACCACCAAGTCCTGTCCATTTTGCTTCCTCCTAAATATTTCTCAAACCAGACCACCTCTCTCCAACCCCATAGACATGACATTAGTCCTTATCTCTTACCTGTGTCACAGGATCCCAGTCTCCTTCAAGACAAGCTTGAATGTGTTTCTTCACTCTGTCCCCAGGAAGAAGGGAGGAGAACCTTCTAAAATGCAAATTTAATCACATGACCCCCCAGCTTAAAACTCTCAGCTGGCTATTTATTCCCCGTTCCCACCCTCAAGATCTCCTCACACTGGATAACACTAGATGTGGAATTCCTTTGAGTTGCTTAAACAAATCAATCTAGTTCTGTCTCAGGCACTCTCTTTAGAATACCCTTTCACCTGTTCACCTAATTCCTACTCATCCATCATAGCACTAGAAACCCTTTCAATGCAGGACCAGTTACTCCTGCTGTGTGCTCACATTGCCCACAGGCATCTCTCCACCTTCTGTCATTCCTTGTTTTTAACTGTTTCCCCACTAGAATCAAAGCTCTGTAGGTTCTGTGTTACTCTGTGTATGTTGGGTGATCTTATTCATGACTGTATTTTTTAGCCCCTGCTATTGGGTCTGGCACATAAGAAGCATTCTATAAATATTTGAAAAGTTTCAGGTAATGTGAGGCCTGAAAGTTAGGAGAATCAGAGATTTGGGACAGGCAGGGACAGGCAGAGAGAGTAAGGGGAAGAAAGAGATAGGTTGATTGAACATCTGTATAGGGAGAAGTGATAAATGAGGAGGAATCTTAGGAATATTGGGAAGACTATATCAGGACAAATTGCTCACAGCAAAATAGATGACCATTGTAATAGAGAACATTTTTCCTTTAATATGCTTCTTTCTCTCATTTCACTGGGAAGAGCTGATACAAGTGCCGGACAACTAGAGGTGGCCGTTTCTCGGGATTAGGGGTTTGATAGAGAACGTGCCCACTTATACCCATATCTATTAGATTTTATTGAGAATTAATTCTGTTTCTGACCATCAGATATTTATAATTCATTTTGGTCAAGAACAAAAACAAATAGAGAATAAGACAATGTCAGGGAACCTCATATTATTGAATAATCTAAAAGAATGCTCAAAAACTTTGAAAAAACTACATTAGAAAAGGCATTTAGCACATGTACCCCAAAACCTAAAATGCAATAAAATACATATATATATTTTTAAAAAGGCATTTAGCAGAAGCTCAGACTCATGGCCTGATCTTCTCAATGCAGGGTATATTGATTACCATGATAGATGATAATAGAATCTGAGAGTTTAGGAAACTTGAACTTGGCCAGACGAATAGTGGGAATACAGATTATCAGTGCTCCACTATCATGCAGTAGTACTTGCCAAAATACATTCTAAAGAGACAAAACCTCATATAGACATTGTGAATTGAGTCTCCATTTAGGCCTTTTTAAAAAACCTTCTAAGTGAGTAGGTCTAATTGTTTTATCCTTGGAAGATAATCACTGTCGAAATATGAGAATACAGATAGAACTTCCAAATTTATTAGAGAGTTATTTAACTATGTAAAGATATTAGAGTTTAGGAGGCATAAATTTTGTGAGAATTGTAACATTGGAAACGTCAAATGAGAGATTAAAGTTAAGTAGTAGTACATTGGATTTTGCTTATGAGTTCTAAGGGTAAAGTTTTGAAGAAAATGCAATAGAACATCACTCTTAACTTTCATTTTAGGTTAAAATGTACATGTGCAGATTTATTATACAGATAAATTGCATGTGACAGAGTTTTGATATACAGATGATTTCATCACCCAGGTAATAAGTGTAGTGGCCAGTAGGTAGTTTTTGACCCTCTCCCTCCTTCCCCCTCCACCCTCAAGCAGGCCCTAGTGTCTATTGTTCTCTTCTTTGCGTCCATTTGTACTCAGTGTTGAGCTCCCACTTATAAGTGAGAATATGTGATATTTGGTTTTCTGTTCCTGCATTAAATTGCGTAGGATAAGGCCTTCTACCTGCATCCATGTTGCTGTAAAGAACATAATCTAATTCTTTTTAATGACTGCAAAGTATTCCATGCTGTATATGTACCACATTTTCTTTATCCAGTCTATCATTGATGGGCATTTAGATTGATTCCATGTCTTTGTTATTGTAAATAGTGCTATGATGAACATACACATGCATGTGTCTTTATGGTAGAACAATTTATATTTCTTTGGATATGTACCCAGTAATGGGATTGCTGGGTCAAAAGGCAATTCTGTTTTATGTTCTTTGAGAAATCTCCAAACTGTTTTCCACATTGGCTAAACTAATTTACATTCCCGCCAACAGTGTATAACAATTCTCTTTACTCTGCAACCTCACCAATACCTGTTATTTTTTGACTTTTTAATAATAGGCATTTTGACTGGTGGGAGATAGTATCTCATTGTGGTTTTGATTTGCCTTTCTCTAATAATTAGTAATACTGAGTATTTTTTTGTATGCTTGTTGGCTACATGTGTGTCTTTTGATAAATATCTATTCAGTTTGCTCACTTTTTAATGGAGTTGTTTGGCTTTTGCTTGTTGGTTAGTTTAACTTTCTTATATATTTGGATATTAGACCTTTGTCAGATGCACAGTTTGCAGATATTTCCTCACAAGACATATGTTGTCTGTTTACTCTGTTGATAGTTTCCCTTTCTGTTCAGAAGCTCTTTGGTTTAATTAGGTCCCATTTATCAATTTTTGTTTTTGTCACAATTTCTTTTGGTCTCTTCATCATGAAATATTTACCAGAGCCTTTGTCCAGAATAGTATTTCCTAGGTTATTTCCCAGGGCTTTTTAAGCTTTACATTTTAGATTTAAATCTTTAATCTATCTTGAATTGATTTTGGTATATGGCATGAGGGTAAAGTTGGTATGGTATAATGGTAAAGGAAGGGATCCAGTTTCAGTCTTCTGCTTGCAGATAGCCAGTTACCCCAGTACCATTTATTGAATATGAAGTCCTTTCCAAACTGCTTGTTTTTGTCAGCTTTGTTGAAGATCAGATGGTTATAGGTGTGCAGCATTATCTCTATTCTGTTCCATTGGTCTATGTGTCTGTTTCTGTACCAGTAACGTGCTGTTTTGATTACTATAGCCTTGTAGTATAGTTTGAGGTTGGGTAACATGATGCTTCCAGATTTGTTCTTTTTGCTTAGAATTGTCTTAGCTATTTGGGCTCTTTTTTTAGCTCCAAATGAATTTTTAAATATTTTTTTAAAGTTCTGTGAAGAATGATGTTGGTAGTTTGATAGAAATAGCATAGAATCTGCGATTGCTTTGGGTAGTATGGTCATTTTAACAATATTTATTCTTCCAATTTATGAACATGGAATGTTTTCCATTTGTCTCTGTCATTTCTAATTTCTTTGAGCAGTGTTTTGCTATTCTTATTGTAGAGATCTTTCACTTCCCTAGTTAACTGCATTCCTAGGTGTTTTATTCATTTTGTGATGTTTGTGAATAGGGTTGCATTTTTGATTTGGTTCTCAGCTTGGAAGTTCTTGATGTCTATAAATGATACTAATTTTTGTACATTGATTTTATGTATGCTGAAACTTTACTAAAGTTGTTTATCAGATCTAGGAACTTTTGGGCAGAGAGTATGGGGTTTTCTAGGTATAGGATCATATTGTTGGCAAACAAGGATAGTTTGACTTTCTTTCTTTTTATTTGATTGCCTTTTATTTCTTTCTCCTGCCTAATTGCTCTGGCTAGGACTTCCAGTACTATTTGAATAGGAGTGGTGAGAGTGGGCATCCTTGTCTTGTTGCAGTTCTTAAGGGGAATGCTTCCAGCTTTTGCCCGTTGGGTATGATGTTGGCTGTGGGTTTGCCATAGAGAGTTCTTATGATTTTGAGGTATGTTCCCTAGCTTGTTGAGGGTTTGTAACATGAAGGGATGTTGAATTTTATCAAAAACATTTTCTGTATCTATTGAGATAATCATGTGGTTTTTGTTTTCTGTTTATGTGATGAATTGCATTTACTGATTTCTGTATGTTGAACAAACCTTGCATCCCAGGGTTAAAGCCTGCTAATCATGATGGTTTAGCTCTTTGATGTTCTGCTGCATTCAATTTGCTAGTATTTTGTAGAAGAGTTTTGTGTCTGTATTAATCAGAGATATTGGCCTGAAGTTTTCTTTTTGGGTCTTTTTTCTCCCAGGTTTTGGTATGAGGGTCATGCTGGTCTCATACAAACAGTTAGAGTGGAGACCCTCCCTCTTAATTTTTTGGAATGGTTTCAATAGAAATGGTACCAGCTCTTCTTTATACATCTGGAAAAATTCTGCTATAAATCCATCTGGTCTTGTGCTTTTTCTGGTTGGTGGGATTTTTATTACTGATTTAATTTTGGAACCTATTATTGGTCTGATCAGGGATTCAATTGCCTCCTGGTTCAAACTTGGGAGGTTGTATGTTTCCAAGAATTTATCCATTTCCTCTAGGTTTTCTATTTTGTGTGCATAGAGGTGCTCATAGTGGTCTCTGAGAGTTGGTGTATTTCTGTGGGGTTATTGGTAATGTCCTTTTTGTCATTTCTGATTATGTTTATTTGGATCTTCTCTTTATTTTTATTTATCAGTCTAGCTAGCAGTCTATCAATCTTATTTATTCATTTTTTAAAATTTATTTATTTTACTTTATCTGGCATTTCTCCCCATGTTATGCCTCTCTACCCTCCCCTCCCTTCCCATCCCCTGCTGTCTCTCCCCTAACCCCCCCAAACGAGCCCTTTAATTTGTTGATCTTTTATGTGGTTTTTTGCATCTTAATTTCCTTCAGTTCAGCTCTGATTTTGGTTATTCCTTGCCTTCTGCTAGCTTTTGGGACTTCACTCTTGTTTTTCTAATTCCTTCAGGTATGATGTTAATTGTTAATTTGTGATATTTCTACCTTTTTAATGTGAGCATTTAGTGCTATAAGCTTTCCTCTTAATACTGCTTTAGCTGTTTCCCAGAGATTTTAGTATATTGTATCTTTGTTCTCATTAGTTTCAAAGTATTACTTGATTTATGCTTTAATTTCATAGTTTACCCAAAAGTCATTTAGGAGCAGGTTGTTTAATTTCCATGTAGTTGTGTGTTTTTGAGTG